GTATCGACCGCCAAACGATAGATTAGAAGTGTGACGTCTACATAAACACAGCGCAGTGTTTTAATCTATGAAATGTATGTTAAAGGTATTTGACAAGTTCACCCTTCACAACATTAAGCTATTGTTATGATCCGAACGGGCACATTTTCAAATGCACGTTAATGTGTCCTAAATTTAAAAAAAAAAAAACTTCTGGAGGGCACACGCTTATTAATCATGAAGTAACGAGGGCGATATAATAATATTACTGAATACCTTCTTTTAAAGAGAACAGTCTCGAATGAACCGGTGCCTTGCTTACATTTCTGCAGCGTGTGCTGCGGAAAAAACTCAGCGGTAACAGCACAACTGAGGATAGTCATAAAATGAAAAAGGGGAAACTGAAAGAAGGTAAATAAAAACTTTAGGAGTCAGCGCAGAAGAAAGCACTTTTTTTTTGTCGCTTCAACTTGCGAAGTACAGCTTTCAATTGTTTCTTTGTTTTCTACCTTCCATAATTATATGAAATATCGAATGTGTGAGGGCCCGATTGGCGAAGAGACGATAATTTCACGTTCGCTGGCTCCGGCAGTCACAATTCTTTCGTATGCTACGTCAGGGCGTTTGGCATTCAGAAATCAGCTGTGTTCTAAATTTCCGAAGGCTTTTGCTGTACAAAGACCGGATGTATCCAACGGCCAGAGATCGAGGCTGGAGCTCGCGCAGTTCCGGTGATAACGGATGAAGTCGCTTCGTGGAAGAAAGGTCCGTACTTTAGGGGCTATTTGAAATATTTTCATTCGTTTTAAGGGGATAGTAGAAAAAATGTCTAACTTATTGATCACGTCCCTAGGTAGAGGAAACAAAAAAGGGGTCTGGGCTACCAAATCGCGTCATCCGCGATGTTTTTTTTCTTCTTTTTTTTCTTTTTTTTTTGTAGAGTTTGCGGCACCAATTGTTTATGGCCTCAGTCTCGGAAATCGAACCCGAGCCTGAATTAGAGTGAACCGTTGTACGGAAGGAAAGGAAGTCCGATTATGCTAACTAAATATTTATCTAAAATAACAGCAGTACCTAAGAACTACTGCAGGTAATGCATTTCAAAATGACTAAAACCTGTAAAATCCGCATGCGATAAAAATAGAGTAGATATTCGTGTGAACACACCGGGTATTTAAATGAATCAAAGTTAAAACTAAGTACATTAATTATCAGGAAAATGCTCTACAGTGAATATTCATGTAATGGGTTTTAGCATCTCCCTGTTGCTGGCTACTCTGTTAAGGATTCCTGCATGCAGGCGGCATAATTCGTATTCCCTCGAGCTTAAACAGTTCCCAATAAAATACAAATACACTTTTCGAAAATTAAAAAAAATACAATACTAAATATGCCGGTGAATAGGTAATTGTACTTATTGCATGATCATCCCCTTAAAAGTAGGAGGATGTCAACGCAAGTTTCCCTAAAATAAAACAGGAAACCTAGATTTGCACAGGCTCGAAGTAGCAGATTGTGTGAGCGAAACGTCAGTTACATTTGCAGCCGCCTTAGATATTTATACAAGTTGGTTAAACGGCTATTCTTGGGAAACATCTATGACTGCTGAAAAGTTTTAAGAAAACACAGCGTAGAACTTCGCGGAGCCACATCTGCACAAAACCCAGTATTTATATTAAAAACATGTTTTCTGCAGGCTATTGTTTTAATAATAAATTATGTGGCAAATCGAATGAGGCTAGGATAGTATTTAGGTATCAATAATAAAATGTAAACACACACAACAATGAGTGATTGGTGCACATCGGTCCAACGGTTTACACAAAAAGGTACGGAAACGAAGCTTCGTAGAGTGATATGTTTCCGCTTTCTGTATGCCGCACGTTTCTCCGTATCTTCAAAAGAAGACAATATGATCAGCGGAAAACATAAAGCATTTATTTCCTTTATTGGTCACTAAACGACTACAAAAAAAAACACAAAAAATATCTTCTGAGTAGCCCCTGGGAGCCCACAAATGTTCGTGATTCTGCCCCCGTAATTCCAGATGTCCTTGTAGGTGGCAGCATGGCCACTGGTGAATCAGGCAGACGCACCCATTTCTGCGAGGAGCCTCTCGCTTCTTGCCGAGACGTACGGAGCTTGATGTTGGTCTTTCTACAACGAACGGATCCAGCAGAAGAGCCTGTACTCGATTATGTACGTTCATGGTGCGCAACTTCAAGGAATTCAAGTTCCTTCTCGTATTTTCATTAGAAATTTGTCAGCATTGTGCTTGGTTTCTCGTTTATTAAAAGCTTTAGTGACCAGTATAAAAAAACCAGAATTACTAGCAAATGAATGCGACACGCAAAAAGTAAAAAAAAAGTCTTAATTGAATAATTCGGTTCCATAAATTAGATACTTGCACTTTCGCAACACGCTAACAAACAGAGAACAGTCGGTTTGATCGAGTAGATCGGTCTATTTTGTTTTTAAGCTTGACCCGTTCCACACAGAGACCCTGTACATATTTGCCGAAGCCGAGCATGAAACAAACCATTTTTTCTAGGGATGTTGGGTTTCATCAGGGATGTTTACTTTAAAACCGTCTCAATAGTTCAGAAATTGCTAAGTTAAACTTTATTCAGTGATGATTTTTCTCGCCGCCCATTTATTCACAGAGAGTAAAGTCTTATCAGAAACATACCTCCTCAAGTGCGAACTGCAGGCTTATATTTAGCATACTGTTATTTTAGGTTCTAACTCGTAACATTGAACAGCCTACAGTAATATTCCACGTCTCCAGGGTTGCCGCATTGGATATCCAATTTCAGTGGACATGCAGACGTTGTTGGATCTTCCATCTCGTTGGATGTTCAGTCACGATGGGCATTCAGGCTTTATTGGATTTTCCGTCTCGATGGATATTGAGGCACGCAAGGACATTCGATGGATATTCAAGCCCGGTTGGATCTTCCGTCTCGTTGGACATTTTCTCTCAACTGGACGTTTCGTCTCAATGGATATTTTGTCTCACCTGTCACGTGACCAATTGGATCTCTGGAATCGTGGGATCTTCCGTCTCGATGGATATTCAGACCGTAAGTGGGAAAGACCCCAAGACGAACAAAACAAATACAACGCTTCGAACACAGCAGAAACTTCTGTTAGGCCGCTTAGGCTCACGAGTAGAGAAACACACACACAAAAACAAAAAGGTTCAGAACTTCTAAGTACCGCACTAAGGAACAAAGTCGCCAATATGACACCAGCAGGAAAACCCCAAAGCACATATCACTGCCACACGTTCCCCGAACATAAAAAAAAAGAAAAGTACACCCTAGTAAAACATATAAAATAGCGCAAAAAGACAAGGACAAGAAGTCTTTTTTGCGCTATTTTATATGTTTTACTAATATGAACCAACTAGCCCACCAACGTATTCTACTAGAAATACACCCGGCCACGCCAGCGGGCAAAAAGGGGAAGGGGAAAGCTACCCAACTTAAATTACCTCCCCGCGCAAATACACTAAAAATATATTCAATATTTTTTTTATGAAATTTGTTAAAACGCTTTTAAATTCTCAAATAATTTATTAGTGCGTTTTTGGGTGCCGAGGGGGGGGGGGGGGGGGTTGATTGAAGTTTAATGTTTTTTTCTCTTTCCCTTTATGTCAGGCAGGCATGGCCAAGTGACTTTTCCATTTTTTTATGTGAGGAATCTGTGGGGGTAATGTGTGCTTTGGTTTCTTTTTGCTTGTGTCCTCGGGTGACTTTGTTGCTTAGCGTCGTAGTTAAAGGTGCTCAACCTTTCAACCCTTTCCTTTTTTATATGTATGTATACTTCTCTGATTATGGGCCTGTTTAATGATCATTCAGCCTAATAAAAAGTTGGAAAAATAAAAAGTGTTGGGAGCTTTGTGCTTGTTCGTCCTGATTTCCCCCGCTCCCGGGTTGCCCTCTCAATCGTAAAATGTTATAGTAATAATATTTGCTAGGCCTGGATGGCACACAAATAATATAGAATACCTTTATTGACGAGTAAGCAGCTTTCTTTAGAATGTTGCATTGCTTGCAGTCTTGCACTCTAGGTTAAGGGAAAACTCTAAAATTACGCATAATTGTCGAGATTCACATAATGCTACAGCAGTATTATTCCGGATAAGCAGTTGGATGGGTAAAAGGGTTCGAAAAACATAGCGTGGTTGCTTTGACCCTCACTGTTTCGTCTTCTAATTAACATTTGTTTGATACGGTTCGATTGGTAAAGAAAATAGGAAATTAGTTTTGTCAACTGGCGGAGAAAGTTAGCTTTGAGGATATGTGCAAGTAGTTTTCTGCCGTGGCAGGTATCCCGACAGTTTGTGGCAGCTATTTTAGTGCAGGGGGTAACAACGCAAGTATTGTTTTTATATATTAGGTGAGCCAGCAGTCAAACCAGTCGCGCCTGTTAAATGATTGTTCTTTTGATTGTAACAGGTCTAGTGAAAGTAGTTATGTTTAAAACACATCCATCGGCGTTAGGCGAGGTACTTTTATGAGTTAATTTGGCATTTAGCCAGTTCAGGCATTGCGAATACTATTGGAATAAAGGTACGCAAAATATTTGGGTGCGTTCGGATGATTCGACAATTGTTGTTTTCCGTTACCACAATATTTTAAATGAAATGGTTTTATATAACAAGCTCTGTTCTAATTCTTAGTAACCTTTGAAAAAGTGGAAGAAGATGTGCGGACCAACAGGAGACTCTGAAGTATAGAACCTCAGCGGTGGAGCGAGGAGGTATTTTTTCTATTATACAAACACAGATAATGAGTCAGTTTAGGATTAATTTTTAATACACTGCTTTATTCCTAAATATCACACAAAGCGCGCAGTGTTACCGTTATGTCGGGGACTTGGTTGCGTGAGCTACGCCAAACTCTTCTAAATTTTGTTAAGCGACGAAACAATCATTAACCAATCAATATTTTTAAGTTTAAAGCAAGATCTGGCTGGTCAAAAATTGTGGGTCTTGATATTTTGCACAGTTCTCTTCAGGTTGTGTCACTTAGCGTCCATGTTTTTCTGTTCCTTCTTTCAACACAGACAACAGCGAGGAAAAGGGCCGAAGCTGCCAGCTGTATTCCGCCGTGAAGCATGTACAGGCCGTCGTAACTTCCATGAAAGTCCCTAAAAAAACCTTGAAAAGAAATAAAACCAATAAATTGTGAACAGTCTCGTGATCAACGGGTATCACATAGTGTTGTCGCGTCACTTGGTATTTGAATAAAAAAATAACTACATTTTTTCTCTATTAATTGTTACATAACAGATTAGGGAAGGCCACAAATTATCCAGTTGCAGAAGCCTTCTGTTGTTTCTTCTTTAGGTTATACAGCTCTCAGCAAAAACCGCAGCTCGCGACTACGGCAAATGCGGGGAAATTGGGTGTTCTGTTAAAACACGAAAATATCAATACACAGTGTTCATCTAAGAAACTGAAGCTATTACCAGGAATTAGTAAAAGTCAAGTACACGTAAAAGAACGTAGCGTTTTATTTCGTCTAACTGACCGAAACCGTTCGGAACTCTATAAAGACACCACCGAGTTTAGGTGTACCTAAGGTTTAAGCAGAAATCAACAGCAATAAGAAGCATCGCGTGCATCAACAGCTACAGAATTTATATATGCAGTCAAATTTAGAGTAAGAAAACAGAAACACATGCCGAGTTGTAAAATAGTCTCGAATGGTTAAGTTGTTTGTTATATTTCAACATTATATATTATTATTGTTTCTAACTCTTTTTACGTAATGTTTTTGAAAGAGAACCCTAATGATCAATAAATAAAATAAAAGTTAGAAACGCTCTTTGACTTTAGGCCACCATACAAAACATCAAGACACTGCAGATACTTTGTATTCAACAAAGCTACGATAGTAAAGATATATATATATATATATATATATATATATTGTCACGAATGACAATTGATGAGGCGATGATAACTGAAGAAGCTAAACGTTTAATGGGGCGAACTTGTGCCCAAAACAAAAAGGGAAAAGAAGAAAACAGCAGAGCGTCGCGGGCGTCGATGTCGGCGAAACCGCAGGATCGAGCGCTGGGGCGAGACTACTCCGCTCACCTTTCGGAGTCCCTTATGTACCCCTCGTAGGTTTCTGGATCATTCGGTGTAGAACTTTCGGTACGTAAGACATTCAGAACTTGATCAGACGAGAATGTTCTCGACCTCACGAGAAGGCCAAGTTGAAAGAATAAATAAAAGGAGAGTCCGCTGACTGGGGAATCGAACCTACACCTTCCGCGCGGCACTTAATCTAATGAACTGTACTTAATCCAATGAATCAAAAATTGCGTTTTTTTTGGCTTTCGACGGGTTTCTGAAAAATTTGATTCTTTGATTGCTGTTTTCACTAAGGGTTTTTTCTTCTCAATTTATATATATATATATATATATATATATATATATATATATATATATATATATATATAAATTGAGAAGAAAAAACCCTTAGTGAAAACAGCAATCAAAGAATCAAATTTTTCAGAAACCCGTCGAAAGCCAAAAAAACGGTCATAGCATGTATATATATATATATATATATATATATATATATATATACATGCTATGACCGCAGCGGTGAATTTTGTACTAAAACAAAAACAGTCTACTTACCTGTTATTGATGGACTGCATAACGTGAGAGGCAACAAGAACAACCCTGAGAGCCCGTAGCATGTTGAGATCCATTGGACACCAATGTAGTCTGCCATGAGGACGCTCCTCATAGGTTGCAGACATCCGTAGACGAGATACACGCTCAAGCACAGAAGAATTATGTGCACACGAAGCGTGGCATACGACATCGCAATCACTGAACATCCCCATATAAAAAAGCTCGCCAAAACTAAGGTGCTACGTCGAAAGAATCTCCTGTCCGCCATAAGGGGAAGGAACAACCGCCCAATAAGTTGGCTGCAAGACCCGTACATGATGAGGGATTCTGCATCTTCAATCGACAAACCTTTGTCTAGTGCGTAGTCTACCAGAGTGGTGACAAACGCAGATCCTGTCAAGTCTGTCACCACTACCACTGAGACAACAACCCAAAGCATGGGATTACGTAACAGCTTCAGTGCCGGACGATGTTTCTTGACTTGCTTTTGGGCAGGGGTCGTTGAAGCTTGTTGGAGTTGTTCGAAATCAGCCGAGATTTTCTGTATTTTCGACGAACCTTCCTCAGTTGCATTCCGCGCACCCTCATCGTTTTTTATCAAGGACGTCCACGGTGGTTCCTTGACCAAAATACCGATGGCCGAAAGGTGCATAGTGATGCCGCCGAAGATTAGAAGCGTACCACGAAAGGCGTATTCATTTTGTAAGTAGGAAAGAAACTTGGGAAAAACCAGACCGCCCAATGATCCTCCAGCAAACTTCATTCCTGATGTTAAGCCTCTGTACTTGTCAAAATACATAGCAAGGAGTATACTATACGTCAATGAAATAACACCAGATCCCAGACCTGGAATAGAGCAGAAAAGAAAACGTGAAAGAATTTCATAAGTTATAAGTTACAGTTTTACAAAAGTCTTTCTGAAACCGTGCGTTCAGCGTGTGCTTTGCTTAGATGTATGTTCAATCTGATGTGTTCTGGCCAGTGGTAAAAAAATCAAAGGCATGTGAGTGCGGTTTTTACCAAGCCTGCTCTTACGCGAGGCCAAAATATACGACCGTCGCGTAGGCAGGATAGGATCGTGGGAAGTCGCAACGTAATTGACTGTCGCTTGTAAGACTCAAAGTAAGCACAAAACTTCCTGCTGTGTTTTATATGTTCGCTTCCTACGTATGTAGTCTATAGAGACGTATAAATTGTTCCCCTCAAGTTAACTGATATCATAAATTGCGACAATCTTGCCAAGAATTGCAATAGTTCCTTATTATGAGCTAGTTTCAACCGAAGATCCTTTCGCACGACAACTACACCTTGAAACAAAATTACAGGTAGCTGAGCGACATATTTTTTTATGTATTTTGTATACTTTTTTTCATGACGTGATTAACGTTTTGGCGGGAAATTTTGGCAAGGATATGTAACCTCAATTTAGCAACCACACAAGCAACTATTTTTAATTTTTTACGAGTTTTACGTAACCACTTTTACGTGAGAGTACTTTGTCTTCTTTTGTTGCGGTGCTAAATAAAATAATTTAATGGTGATGAAGAACACACCCTTTAAAGTACAGGGAATATAAATATTACAATAATTTGCAAACACAATTGACAAATCTGTCAGGCCAGAGCAAAGTGTGTATTAGATACGTAACCAAAAATTCACAGGGGTCGGCCGGCCCACTACATGCACTCACCTTTAGGGCTGGGCGTCGATTAAAAGTTTTAACCAGAAAAATCGCCACCCTTTAATCGATTAATCAGTCGATTAATCGGTCTCGTTCATTTCTATGCATAAAGTTTAAATTCATAATTTTTGTTGGCCTTTGTTTAATACGTGAAAACGGCACAATATAGAGCTCGTACTATGAATGAATCTCTACGTGTAGTTAAGAATAGTTTAAAGGCACTCACACTCACAGATATTTACTTCAGCGGCATGAGACAAAGGAGCTCATTGATATTCTCCGGCTTGAGCGACCTCCATTGATTAGCGAAGTAAGGTAAAAAAAACACGGACGAGCTCGTGAATGCCATTCACAGTAACCCTGAGACGTAGGAACATATGGTTTACATGAGCTTTAAACTGACACTCGAACGGCGTTAAAGTGGCCGGGACACGTGTAGCCTTTTGCACTTGTACGGAGTTTGTACAAATCTCATCCCTACAGTTTACTCTTTCCTCAAATTTGACCTGAACTTTGCCCTTCATACAATTCTACTCGTCCAGGTCTGCGTGATTAAAGCATTTAATTTTTACTTTCGTTTGGTTCATCAAACTTTTACGAATTAACCGGTTAAAAAAATTTAATCGCGATTAAAGCATGAATCAATTAGTTGGTAGGTTAGGTTAGGTTAGGTTAGGTTAGGTTCGGTTATCAAGACACCGAGTAAGTTTTCAAACGAGGAGAGTTTATTTCAATGCGATCTTGGTTATAGTTGTTTTTCAGTGAATTCAGCAAACCGTCTTATTTGTGATCTTTCTGCAGTGGGGCCAGTATTTCCGGAGTATACATTTCTAGGAACTGCAATCCGCTCAGAGTTTTCTCAGTAATCACGAGGCCACCAAGTTGCAGATGTTCCTTACCATTGAACGTGCTGCTTCCAGTGCGTATTTATATCGCGGATAGCAGGTAGGCTTGTGGGATAGGACAATTTTGTGTACATAAATGAGAAACAAGAGAACTACTGCGCAAGCTCGAACACATCAGCCGTTTGCGTGATTTAGAGTCCAAAAAGGCAAAACGTATTTTTTTTAGATTTCATATCAGCTTCCCTACAAAGCTCTATACAAAATAAAACAAGAGTTGCACCCACGCGCTTAATGCTCACTTGAAAGTGCTTTTGAACTTGTATTATCATTGTACGCGGCCCTTCAGTTATAAAGCACAAATATTTATGGACAAACAATATTAAAAAAAGAGCGATTCTATTCAGGATTTATGAATGAAGGTACAGGTTTAAAATGGTTGTCACAGTATAGAGCCCTCACTTCATCGCGCCTGGTTCCCTGATTTTTGAGTGTTAGATACCGTTCAAAAACGAGGCAAAATATCACGAGAATTGTATTATGAAGACGGGCGTATGTTTACCTTGAATAACGCCGAAGGTCACCGTCATCCATGCCATGGTGGGAACAAATGCGGATGCCACAATTCCTGACCAGATGAACAAAGCTCCCAGAAGAAATATCGTGAAAAGTGATACTTTCCGTTGAAACAGTGCCACGAAAATAGCTACAAAACAAAATGTAGATCACATTATCTGCTTATGTATAAGTGTGCTTCCAACTTATACTATAATTTCCAGTTAGTGTTGCATAATGAGGTGTGTGAGTTTGAAAACAAATCACGGAAGCAAAATGTTTGAAAATGCAGTAATTAGGGCAACTGATTTTTTAAATTAAATTCCTGCCCTACTACTTTTCCGGGTAACTAAGTAATTGTGGCAGACATTTTACCCTTGCTAATGGTAAAGGCGCGCATGGCCTGCTCGGATGTAATGGGTATTCTCACATACCTTCTGATATGGCAGGTTGAATTAAAAATAAATATTTAAGACAAGAACAATTAATTTAAAATATTTAGGATTAAGAATATCTACTTCAAATTAAAATTTAGAAGTTATCGCATCATCAACTTAAAACCTGAACAAAAAACACGTTGAAACACCTAGCGTGTTGGTAAGGCTCATAGACACAAAAACATAAGCACATGGGGTGGAGGACAGAACACAACATAATTTAAGAAGCAACGAACAATATTGACGAAAAACCGCCTCCCAAAAGGCTTAAACAAGTCTTGGAAGAAAGTGATAAACATTTCCGAAAGAGATGGAAACTCTAGAAGGTAAATGAGAAGAAAATACAATAATTTTGTGCATGGAAATCTAGATTACAAGCTAAAAAACCTAAGCACAGCGTCGATGTGTGAAGCGGACTGGCATATTCAGGATTAAGGAATTCAGCCCTTGTTTTTGTCAGTGAGAGTGATAGAGTAGAAGTATTGTTTCATAACCTGGACGCTTCAATTATCTCCGATTCAGTTTTTTTTTTTTTTTTTTTTTTTTGCCCATTGTAGTTCATGGCCGCACATGTGGTGACTAAACACCTTGCTTACGCGATACCATTGTTCTAGGGCTTATATGAACGGATTTTGGGAGGGAAACCGTTGAGTCGTTTGCTGTGGGTGCAGCCACATTTCTGGTCCATCACTCTCACCGACGAAGACGGAAGTTGAATGATTTAAACCTGTGTTTTACAGACTGCTTTACACATCGACGTGTTTCTAGGATTTTTAAGCACATAATCTTGATTTGCATGCTAAAAGATCCTTGCATTTTTTATCGTTTGCTTTCTCCGATTTTCTTTTCCATCGTCAGCTGTTATCTCTGTTCTTCCAAGGTTTGTTAACGCCTCTTAGAGGGCGGTTATTTTTCACTCGTTTTCGTTGATAGATGATACTAACATGCTATGTACACCGTCCCTTGTGCTTATATACTTCCGTCTGTATATAAACAAACATTTTTTTATGACATACTATGTGTAGCGACACGCTGCAGCGAGCAAAAAAGACAAAGTTCGCCAGCACTAGAAAAAATCACCACTTGTACGCAGGCAAGTGGTAAAGTGGTGACTGGACGATCGGTTACGCAGTCTACATCCTACAACCGATAATTACTTTGGGTCTTTTGTAAATATTTAAAAAAATATCAGGCTCCAGTCCACACTGTAAAGGTGGTTGGACAGCGAAGCTGAGGTGTCACCTGCAACGATTGCCCACTGCACTATAGACCCTTGCTATTGCAAACGCCACCAGTTGGTGATCCCCTATTTGACCGTTCCAGAGAACTTCTGATTTATAAAGAGAATGAAGAAAGGCCACCTTGAAGGAGTACAGAAACAAAAATTGAAATATACAAATTTCGTTCGGAAATGAGTGAAGCATGACGGATAATAACCGTAAATGATAATCACACGTTTGTATTTTGCACGGCTGGCTATATTTTTCGTTGCTAACGGTGGACTGGAGCAAGCGCTCGAAGACAAGCGAACCGAGCGTGCGATGCCGTCTTGGGATATACGGCCCAAACACAGAAAGATTCCCCGCATTCGTGACGTAGTAAGGCTGGCGTGGTTATGAGTTTTTTAGTTGGTGGCGTTGCCAGCGTTGTGGTGGTTATTTGAATATACTAAGCTTCAATGGTAAAAAAAAAATGGCTAGGTGGCGTCAGCTACCGCCCGATCCAAAGGGCTCAGCAGGATTCATCCATCCTACTATCCATGGTTACGCGTTACAGCCGAGCCGTTCGAGGTACCCGTGGGGTTACGAGCGTGTGGCTGGCCTAAGGAGCAGGTAGCTTCCACAGCACTGTCACCTTAGGGGTGAACGGGGTGGGGAAAGCAACTTTTGTCCGAGTTTTGAGCGACGGGCTAATCTTCTAGGGGGAGGATGGCTGCGTCCGGGTACACAAACGAGGGTCCGAGCAAAGGGGGAGTCCCTTCGTTCCGTTTTCTTGACTGTTTGGTACAATGCGCGATTTCTGAGTTAAGGAGGAAAGCGAAGAGGGAAAAAGTTGAAAAATCGTTTCGTATTTCCAAAAACCGGCGCTGCTCTGAGGCCAGATTCACGAAACGATCTTACGCCAAAAATGTGCGTAGGAAAAAACGTAAGAACAAAGTCGTATTCACAAAACGACCTTATCTTAAGTTTTGCGCAGGTTACGACGGAATCCTACGACAGCTCCGAAGCGGCCTTACGCACTTTTTACGATCAAATCAGCATAGCCGACAGTGTCGCTCAGTTACTTGGTCGCGACGACCAACAGACGTTTATTTTTCTACGTGCTCTTCTCGCGCGTTCCGACTTCAAGAATCAAGAAGAAAGTAAAAAATACTTGATACAGACCACGACGAACAAGAATGCTGGAACCACAAACACCCTCAAAAAGCTCCAACGGCCACGATTCCACCGACCCCGAACAAGCGAGCTCGGCATAATAGGAAATGAACTTCTTCCGAAACCGACGCGCCCCATCGCGGCGAAATACCACGCAGTGCACCCTGGGAACTAGTTGGCCACTCAGTTTCGGTTTCGACTGAGCAGCTTCGTCTCATGCTATCACGCCGCGACCGAACGCGCTGCTTGCGTTTTCGATTATCTGACTTTTCACGAACGTACAATACACTCATTCTCGAGCGATACAAAACGAAGACCGGGGCACTTTCCTTGGTTCCCGAAACACCGGATATTGTGCGTGCGTATGCGAACGTAGTAAGTCGTGGCTTAGTCACGTCACCCCACGAGTGCATCTTTGAGCTCAATGTCAGTAATCCCGTCTAGTACCAGTGAACTACAACTGAAATTTGTTCGTCTGGAGCCTTACACGTATTTTGTTTGCCAAACGTCCGGTTCTTGTTACTTCATTGGGCGAAAAGCAAGCCGCATCCTCACAGGGTATCAAAGTTGAGCCCAGCGTTTACGCATGAACTTTAAGGAAACGCAATAAATTCGACCTTACTACTGCACAAAAGTTACTATGGTGTCTTCCTCGTGTCATCATATATCTCCCACTAAAATTTTCTGCTGATAGAAGATTAACATTTCGCAAACGCTGAGATCGGCTAGCTACGAGGGAGGCCCAAACAAGCGTCCCCTACTCCTATCTAAACCTTTTTGGACAAGCTTTTACTGACGCCCAAAGTCTGTGCCTGAACGGTGTGTCTGAAATTATCTCTGCATACTCAGGCAGGAAGAAAGCAAACACATAACAAATATTATGGCCATTAGCAACCGTCAAACGCGCTTTGAATTCGTTCGAGCACTTGTGTGAAGAATGTCGCACCGTGCGCCGGACGGTCATGAACCCCTGTGCGATGTACGGTTCATGACCGTCTGGCGCACTTCCGGCGAATGATGCGACATTCTTCACACAAGTGCTCGACTTTTGCTTTATTAAAACGGTCTGTATTCGCGAATTTACCTATATGATTGCAGGATAACTTTATGCGCATACGCGATGTTGAATATTAGTGGAATGCAAGCGCGTGGGGAGTTCACTTCGTGCAGTGCTGCGGGTCAGTACAGATAAGAGATAAGTGCGTTAAAATTGAGCTTTTCGATGGCGCCTCCAAGTTTTACCTCGCATACTCAGGCATATTAAGAAAAACAGTAATTGAAAAAAGTAATATGTCGTCTATGGACGGATGAAACAAACTTACTGATCAACCACACTAATGTAAAGGCGCGAGCACGATGTATGCATACTTATCGGTTGCTACAGCTTGTTGATTTGTACACAAGCAAGATCCCCGAGCTTCGCAGCGTCGAGATTCCCAGCGCTGGCTCGTTCACATTTCCCCGATTGGAACGCTAACAGGAAGGCTCAAGTACAAAAATGCAACAAGCATGTGTTAAGACAAGCTATACGTCTTAGGCTTGTGCTAAAGCTTCGAGGTCTGGCCATTTAGGTTAGTTTAGAGACCACAAATGACGCCCTCGGGACCAGAAAACAATCTCTTGTTGACGTGTCGATCGAAACCGAAACCATGCCACCCTCCTCAATGGCCAACTAGTTCCCAGAGTGCAACGCGCGCCGTGTTTCATGCAGGGCTTTATGGAAGTAGTCTATTGTAGTAGACCGTTTTTCTTCTCCGCTACGGTATCCGCGAAGAAAACGCCGCAGCTTCGCTTGCGCGCCGCCAGCCTTGTCTGCATAGTTCAAGGTCTCATGGCGGATTACGGAGCGCTATCCGGGGTCTTAGCGGGCTGCGGAAACGGTATACTACAATTCCCCAATAAAGGCCTACCAGGCACTCCGACTCGGCGCAGCGTTGCTCCGACGGTCCTTGGCCAAAAACGTCTCCCCATGACCGGCTGGCGTGCTGAATGGAATATGCCCACGCGACCTTTGTGGACCCTCCTTGTTTTCCGAGGCAGCGGTGACGAACGCTGTCGTCAAAAAACGACTCTCATCGATTCTATCTCCTTGCTTTGTGCATATAGAGCTCAAATAAACTCCGTGTGGATTACCTTCGCAACACGGTATGTACAATTTGTTATTAGTATGCCATTCTTATTCTGACACGACTGGACATCACTGTTGAGCTATAACAGTTCGTGAGAGCTACGCAATACCGGTCCAACTTATCTTTGCCGAGTTTCACGTCAGTATCGAGTTACAATCGTAAAAGATCGGTCCCGAAGCGCTTACCAATTCACGGTCCAATAGCGCGAACCCAGCACTTCAGTCAAACGCGCGTGTCCGCTCCGAGTGTGAACAGGTCTTTACGTGGCTCTTGCTGACACTCTCGTAGTTTAAACGTATCCTTTTTAACGTCGACTCGCTCCTGCGTCTCCGAGGCCGGGAAAAACGCCGCAGCAATCTCTTTCCTTCTACGTCACTTTGTAAATGACTGACACGGACTGTCTTTTACCAACGATGACAGTTCTGTTGACTTCGTAGCGATCGAGTTCGTAGCACTCAACGGAGGCGGTTACGCACCTCGGCCTCGGCATTCGGGCGCGTTCAAATCGTGTTAGCGTCGACATCTCACTGCACGGACACGAACCCCAGACAAGCGAAGACGGAAAGGCCGCCTGTGTTTGTTGTTAAAAATCCACGAGCTCCGAACTGCTCCGAGTCATGCCGAGCTCTCCGATTGGTTGTTCGTGCTGCCGAAGATGCCGTCGCCATAGCAACAGCACCGGTAAGTTCTAGTTTTTCCGTACGAAAACGTCACTTTCCTCCTCTCACTTAAGAACGCGTTCATGAATACCGATTTCTCCTTTTCTTACGATATTTTTAACTTACGGACTTCTTAGCTAAGTTGTCGTAAACTAAGAAGCTCTTCGTGAATCTGGCCTTTGATGTTTAGTGAGGCTTCGTAACGGGTCTTCCGGCGTCATGACCTACGTAGGAAGATCCCCAACGTTGCTAGATTATCTCCCAAATAGGCTTCACAGGCATCCACCAGGTGCACATTGAAAGATCCTTTAATTTGCTTTGAAATTAGTTTTCTTGTGCCTTTCAACGAAAGATGTGTTTGTGAAGTTAAGCTGCAACATGCAACAAATTTCAGCAAAAAGTGAGCGCTGGAATTTCGTTTCCCTACTCCTTTAACACCGCTGCTTCAAGTCTTTTTCAATCGTATTTCATCTTGATGGCTTGGTGGTCTCACTTTGTGTGGAGGGTGGGGAAAGTAAGGTGGGTGACGTGGGTAAATAACGATGAGGAAAACAGGAGAGGGGGGGTGTGGCGAGGACGGTTAAATCAGCCTCTCAATCCTGGGGGACCGGAGGAATGCGATGAGGGATGAATACAGTTCCTAGATGAAACGCTTCACCACCAATTATCCGGGTGAACACCAAAAGAACGAAGGAGTGCGAGATCTGTTAAACTGTTTTGAGTATTCTTGTAAATCAACTTGACTGCTACGAGATGTGATATTGCATAGCCGAAGGCCCGCGTTAAATCTCCAACTGTGTTGTCCATGTAGAATTTATGCTTTCTGGCTCTGCTGACATAAGCAGTTCAACAGGCTTGCAAAGAGGACGCGACCGGAAGTCGCTTGGGACACAAGCGGCAGTTCATGTTTGTAAACAACAAAAGGGTTTTTATCAAATGATTGACAAAAAAAAGGGGGGTGTCCTGTAGTGGCACTCAAAAGCGAGCAAAGAAGACGAAGTACACCAGCGCGAGAGCATATCACCAATTCCAAGCAGGAGCTCGAGATGAGTGGACTTTCGGTTACGCAGTCTACGTTCTACAACCGATAATTACTCTGGCTCTTATGTAAATAAAGTAAAATATATATTTGTTAGCAAAAAAAAAAAAAGAACAGCTGCGAGCTTTTCAGTGATGTATGCAAATATTTTAATTTGTATCGATTTGAGTGGTCTAGGGAAACCGGTCGTCTGACTAGTACGTACCAGCCAAGTGAGAAAACGCCGTTCCTATGCTGCCGGGCCAGGTAGCAGTCTCCCTGTTGACGCCGAATTGCTCCATAAAACCCACGTAGAAAAAGGCGGAGTTTGACTGAGCTGCTGTGCCAAGAAAGATAACCAGGAATCCCAGTGCGGCTACGTGCCAACAGGTGTCGACTGCTGCTCCTTTTTTCTTCTCCTTGTTTGTTTTCAGAGGCGTGCACATTTTCACTCCTAGAAATAGAAAAGTAAAAATATTAAGGACTTTAGTAACGAGACATACCCTCAACGTTCATTAGTAGGTGTAGCACTTCAAGTTTTCGACATAATTTATTGTAAAATATTGCGAATAATGTCAGGTTTAATGTGGTCGAAATAAAAACAAAAATTGGCTCTTTGGGTTTGCTTCCTGGTGCGCATGCTCCCGGCTAAAAATAAACAAGCGGTTGAAAGAAATCTCAGAAACTTGCAAGCAGTAAAATACAGAAAAGCAAATAAAATTGTTTTGTCAAGTTAGTTTCTCAACGTACGATGTATTTTCTTGTATCGGCTTCAGTAGTGGAGTAACTCTCGTTCCGCTACACCCTTCAGAATACATCTGCCTTCATGCCCATGTTTAGCATAGCACTTCGGGAGATTTATAGGCTAACCTTCATTTACTACGAAGTATAAATAAGCTGACACTGGTGGCGGCTAGTATCCGCTTTGAGCATCAGCTCGAAAAATTCATGTGGAGTGACGTGTCTATGTAAGCCCGAAGCTGATCGCTCTTTAGTTTTAATTAAAGGAACCCATTCTGAACCACAGAGACATATTTCTTATGTGCTCATGAGTCACATGTTTGATTATCCCTTCGACACATCCACACGTCTACATTTGCGTAGAACACACGATGGGCTGACGACTGCAATCTACGGAGAGCATTGAATACCGAAACACAAAAGACGTCATGACTCGAAATCTCAGCTTGCGCAGGAACAATGTGCATGTCGTCTGTTTTTTCTTTATGTTTATTCTTGATGGCCGCAATAACGCAAACCAAAATAGGAAGGACATTCCTTTAATAGGCAAAAGTTTGTAAACAAAGTTTACGAGTTCACCTTACTTCATCGAGGCGGCATATTTTTAAATGCAGGTCACTTTTAATATTCTAAACCAAAATATTCGAAGTTGGCTGACTAATTGACATGTCTGAAGGGAACAACACAAAGATCACTTACTTCGGTTGAAGAACGGGAAGTTTTGTTTGATCTGTTGCCTCGCTTGTTGTCGCGCAGTTTTTGTTATGGAGAAACTCAGCAGTAACAGCACAGCTGCCGGTAGTCGCGTTATCCGAAACTGGTTTGCCTTATTGACCTCGGTGACAATGCACAGGTGCACCTCTACGCTCGTTGCTTAGCGGCGCATTTTTTGGAAACGGCGTAAAATGTTGCTTTATATCATTGTACCGTCGGTGTATTTAGAATGTTTCGATGATGCGGAGCAAGATAGTAATTGAGTCCTTCCCTTTACAATCAATAATAAAAATTGAATCACTCAAAATTAATTCCTTACCCAATATATTCGAAGCCAAAAATTTTACTTAATGGACCTTTTGACACAAACCACTGCCTAATCAACCTTTTTTTTTTTTTTGCGATGCGTAGTTTTTTGGGGGACGATTTTGTCCGCGTTTCCGGAAACATGTATGTATGTACTGTTGGATGATGTTGTCGCCACATAGAGGACAGAACAAGTGATGACAGAAGATAAAATGATTTACAGAAATTGAGCCATCACGTGGGGCCTTGCGCGAGATGGTCGTGACCGCGCAACTCCTGCTTCATCATCTTCACCACCCTAGCAGTACTCCCTTCGATGAAAACGGCCGACCCGGCCGGTGAATACGAATATACAGATCACATAGAATAACAAAGAACAGATGCCGTCAGCGGGGTTGGCAATGAAGATTTGAAGATTTTTGGAGTTCGGCCTCTATCCGCAGCCTTGCAGAGCTCACCACCATCCACAGCTGCACGACCGTACGGCCTTGGATTGGGGGAGAACGTCGGCGGTTGGGGAAAGAGGTGGCGGATCGTCGGTCGGCTTCGTCTGTTTCGGCTCGTCCTAGCATCTGGGCGGGGGCTGAGCGAAGGAGCCATGGGCTGGTGATTGGTCTGGTTCTGCGGATGACTGCCACGAGGCGGGACGGCTGGCTGCTCACGGCGGCGACGTTTGATACAGAGGATGAAGGTGTCTCCGCACCTCCACCATACTTTTAGGATGTTTCTGTCGGCAGCATAGGAAAAAGGACAAGTGATGACATATGATAGAATGATTTATAAATGCCAAACCTTCACGCGTCTGAAAAAGATTAATTGCATACGTTTACGTTTTCTGTAATGCGGAGTCAGGGCTCGGCTCTTGAGATATGTTGATTGTGTGATATAGCGTGGTAAATAATTTGAGGTAGATTATATATAGTATATATATATACATATTGATATCTTGATTTTTTGTTTGCTTGGGGGTAGGCCAAAGAGGACGAGGAGGGTCAACACCACCTAGACACAAGGCCTCCGCATGGTCTCCTCTTCCTCTATGAAACATCAGAGTCGGATGTGAGGCGCAACCCGAGGTTGCGCTTCACATCCGGCTCTGCGCCCCTGAAGAAAAGCCGATGCCGTCACGATGTTGGGGCGCAACCTGAGGCAGAGAAGCAGACGGCGTTCGACGTATGTACGATGATGCTAGGCCTTACTCCCGCATCGAAATTTTCGATGGCAATGCTATCGCCGGAATCTCACGCTGTCGCGCAGAACCTATAGCAAATAAAAGTGGACGCGGTTACGCCTTAGCGATGTATGCTCGGGTAAGTGAAAAGCCGCATTAAAGAATAGAATAATTTCTGCAAGATACTGGAATCGTAGAAAATCTGCCCGGCAGCCATGTTGAAAATGTTCATTTGCCAGAACAAGATTAGTTCGGGCAGGTCGTGACGTCACGGAAACAACGGGACGCGATTGGTGGCGGAGGAATAGAAGATTTTCTTTGAGGGGCATTTGCCGCAACCTTCTTGACTTGGAGCCGACTTTAGCACGCTCTTGAGGCACGGCTGACGAGCGCCCGGCACGTGACTAAGAGCATGTACCTCGAGGGTAAGGAGGTTACTTTTTTTGGTTTACTTGACTGGGCATGGTGGTCGAGTCCACTTCTCACTTTACAGTCAACTGTCAACATTAAGGGAAGGGGGGGGGGGGGGGGGGTTACGCCATCTAAGGAGTGCTGACAGAGAAAGAGAGAGAACGCGAAAAAGTGGTGTGATCCTCTATTATTTTGTGACTCCGATAGCCACCGCTCCTCTCTCTCTCTATGCCCTCCCCTTTGCTGGCCTTCATAAATATCGGTATGAAAGTGAGAGCCGACGAACGATCGATAACCTGTAACCGCCACTTTTTCTCTTACTGGTCGAGTTTTCGGTCATGGACTGTCCGTCGTCTACACTTTAGATGGCCGGGAGTTTCTGCGGTGCGACTCCACCAGCGCAGATGAAACTCGACTCCTAATTTTTTTCACGGACGAAAACTTGAGAAAATTGAACGACGCTCCCAATGTGGCTTTCACGGACGAAAACTTGAGGAAATTGAACGACGCTCCCAATGTGGCTCATATACGGAACATTTAAGACTGTGCACCGCTCTTCAAACAATTATACACAATTCACGCTTATCTTCACAGCCATGTGTTCCCTTTTGTTTACTTTCTGATGACTCGACAAACCCAGCTGGCGTACGAGGCGCTCTTCGAAGAAGTGCTGAACTTCGCCGCAGATATCGGACTGGCACTAAATCCAAAAACTGAGAGTACAGACTTCGAACTGGCAGCAATCAACGCTCCCGTCGTCGCATGTGCACGGTTGTCTGTTCCACTTGTGCCAACCAGTATGGAGGCAAGTGCAGCACCTAGAATTGGCAGTACTCTACTAAAATTATGCAGGTGGCTTCGCCATCAAGGTGAGGCAGCTTGCAGCCCTTTCGTTCTTGCCCACCGAAGAAGGACGGGATGCCTTTGCGTCCTTGAAACCACTCTTCCCGCAAGAAGCCTGTGACCTGCTGGGATGGTGGGAGGATAATTACCTGCTCGGGAAATCACGCCGCCGTGTTGCCGGAGGTAACACGGCCGTGATCATACGAAGTCCACCGGTATTCCCGCCATCCCATTGTAATGTGTTTGCCCTCGCTCAGAACGGATTTCCAAAGGGCAACAACGCCGTTGAGGCATGGCACCGACGATGGGAGATAGTGGCTGACGGACACCACGTAAGCGTCTTCCGGCTCATCATTACCATGAAAAGGGAGCAAGGTAGAGTCGAAGACGGTATCGGGTGAGTGATCAGAGGCCAACCTCACCGCTCACAAAGCTAGAAGCAAAGGCTGCGCGAAAAACGTTAGGCAGCGGCTCTGGGAAACCAGGACAATGTCGACATTCTAAGCTTCCTTTGAGGATTGCACACAACTTATCTGTCTGAAATGCAGTCAACAAGGAATCGCTCTGCTATGCGACGAGATATCCAAAAATGTACTTTTACTTTTTTAAAGGCTTGAGCCATGCGAAGGGAAGCTATACTCGGGGACAACCTTTCATGGCTATTAAAAAAAAGAGGGCGAAAGCGCGTGCACATCGGCCGGCGAAACCTCTCCCCTAACTTTGATCACATTTCCAAGAAATTCTATCTTGCCAAGAAACTTTATCTTCCACTATAACTAGGTGATGCCGTCATTTTGAGGTTTCAATGTTTTGACTTTTCGGCTTTTTGAATTTTCGACTTTTTTTTAATGTTTGGCTTTTTGAATTTTCGGTGTTTTATATTTCGGCATTTCGATAATTCAGCATTTTCGGCGTTTTGAATGCCACCCATCTTTCGCTGCCCGCGTTTTTGAGTTGTTTATTACCCATAATTAGGGCTCCGTGTTTTCAGAGTTTAGTTTTCGTGAAATTCGGAGGCTGTTTTTCGGAGTTTATTTTTTAGCGAAAATTCGGTGTTTATCGGAGTTTATTTTTCGTAAATCCCCAACTCTTCGAAATTCGGAAATTAATTTCGCAGTGTTCCCTATTAAAAATAATAATTATTAACCGAATGCAAACGTATGCCAGCTAAAAAATAAAACGCACTTGTATCAATCAAGATTTCTTCAGTTGAATTTGGCATTGGTGTTATTGGCAATACTAATTTGTCCCACGGCAAAAGTCGCACACAGTGTGGCTTCGATAAACGTCGATACCTTAAAATCAATAAACTGCCGGAGGTAGCCGCAAG